AATAAGAGCAAGGGTTGACCTAGATTCTCCATATCTTTAACAGTCTCAAAAGAAGGGTCCCAGACAGATGTACCCTGGGCCTTTCTTCACAGGCTGAAGTGTCTCTGATCGGGTCAAGCAGTGGGGAATCTTAAGCTTCAGAGCAGAGGACAGAGGAAAAGGAGTGGCAAGGAAGAGCATGTTAAGAGCTTTAGGGAAACAGGTGAGAGTACAGGTGCTTTGCTGCAGGGCATCCTCTTTTCAAGTTACTAACATGGAGGGGCTATGATCATAAACTGTCCATGTTGCTCTGCTCCCAATTTTCCTTTTTTTCTTTGGCTAATACAAGGTTGGTACCCAGTGCAACCCAGTACCCTATCTGTCGAAAGCTGTTTCCCCACCATAATTTTTCTTTCTGATGTCAGTTGTATGTGTCCCTCCACTGGGCCACATCATCATCATAACCCTTACTTGCATCCCCAAACTGGTACCATGGAGACCATTGTTATCAGGGACCTGTACATTTTGTTAGTGTAATGACAACGTATACAGGTAAACACAGCATATGATTAGGCGGCCAGGTTGTAGACATAAAAATTTGAAACCTGAATTTATTTCCCGTTAATAGAAACACTGCAATTTGTGCATGACATGTACTGGTAATTAGTGGCCCCATTTTCAAGTTTTTGCCTAAGAAGGAAAAAAAAAAAGGAATTGTCTTCACGTCTGTGGCCAGAGTTGAGAAAGTTGGATGTCAGGATGAAAAACTAAGGTGCTTGAAACACATTTTCTTATCATGGGAAATATGTTGCCCGGGACTGAAGACTGTGAACTCTTTTCTTACCCCAGGATGATGAGCGCTTCTGTGTAGGCACTTGGATTCAAAGCTGTGACATTTCCAAGAATTTGCCTGCCGCCCTTTGCCAATAAGTTTCTCTTCTTCATTAGTCTACTGCTCAAAAAGGAGAGCTTCCAGAAAAGAATTAGTACTTACTGTGCATCTCCAATAGTCTGGCGCTGTGCTAAGTACTTTTGTGAATGGAATCAAATTTAACCCTAAAAATTATTAGTTTCCTGGATGTGAATAAAAAACTCAAGACATTTATCTAATATGTCTAAAGTCAGGCAATGAATATGGAGAGGATTTAAGATTCAAACCCAGGTCTATCTGACCTCAAATACTGAAAGATTTTCTCTTTGGAAGCTTTATAAAGGAGAAAGATCTGAGAAATCATTTGATGGAAATTTAAAAATTGATGTAACATTTGTCTTTCTCTGCCTCATCTCATTAACCGTGGAACCAATTTGACACTTCCCCGAAAATATGTCCTTATGGAACCTCTTTTTTTTTTCTTGAGGCACCTGTAAACCTCAGTAATATATATGTCCAAGTGAGGGGACCCTCTCAAAGACAGATGGAGGAGTGGCTGCTGGTTAGAATAATTTAGAGGAAAGAGAATCTGTAGTCAAACAGGATGCAAAATTGATTTCTAGCATAGGGGTTTTGTTATTGTTGTTAGTTTGTTTCTTTTTCCATTTGTTTTTCTAGATTCATCTTTCGTGAAGTTCCTGCCCACAGTGGCTCTTTTTATTAGTGAAAGGTCAGTGATCAGAGTAGACCACAAGAAAGACCATCACAGGGCACAGCGCCGACTCCTCTAAAACAGCCCTCGTGAAAGAAAGCTCACCCTCCCGTTGGTGGTGGGGCTGCTTAGATCTAGAGAGGAAATAGTTTATTCATCCAAGCAACATAGACCACCTCAATGCCACACCAGTCTGGTTAGACAGGTTTCCCTTCCACACATTCACCCGTCACCAGTTCACCGGCCCTGGAGCATCTCAGTATTGCCTACGTTTTCTGGTAGGAATCTGTTAAGTCTCCTGAGCCCTCTGGAAGCACAGCACACAGGACAACCACTGGCTTTTATTACATTATTTGGTTCCAATAACCACCCCGTGCTTGATATCAACCAGTGTTCCTCACTTTAAAGATGAACAAGTGAGGCTCTAGACATGGCAAATTAGTGTGTGCCCAAGAAGAGCCCCTCAGTCCATTTCTTTCCCACCTGTTGAACTAATCTTCAAATCCATATGTGAAATACATTTGACTAGAAGAGATTAAAAAAAATTTCTCGAGATTCTACTGATCCATCAGCCAGAGATTATAAAAGGTTTAGTCAGCTGGGGATTTTGATGAGCTTTTGTATAATAGTTTCAGCGTGTCTGAGAGGACTCCGCTGTTCAGAATATGAAACATCTTGAATTCACATGCTGGCGCCCGGCTCAGATCCATGTTTTCCGTTCGTGTTTGATTTTCAATTACCTTCACATGTAGGTCAGCCTGCTGAGATGCAGAGGCACAGTCTTGCATGGATGCCACATTGAAGAAGAGATTTTAAATTACAGCTTCCACAGGTTTTAAAAAACAAAACCATTCACATTCTCTTCAACCCAACACCATGGGTGATAGGGTGGGACCCAAAAGATAAATTAACTAAATGATCTACTGGGGATGTCATCCATATCACAGAGGTATATTTGACTGAGCGATTTAATTAGTTTTCTTTTCTTCTTAAATTTTTCATTTTCATTTTTATTCACGATGGCATTAGTGACATTTCAGATCATTAAAATGAGGTAGATATTGTAACTTTTAATTTATGAAAGTCTTATTGACCTCAAAAGAAATATGGGACGGAAAAAGTAAGATATTTTGAAATAATCTGTGATAAAGATGCAAATATTGGTAATTGTTAAGCATCTTAAGAACAATGGTATAGCCTAGAATAGGAAGGAATAGTCAAGAAACTGAATTTTCAGTTAACATTTTATCTGAGCAGTTTGTTTTTATTATTTCATGATTTTTCCATGGTATAGATAATTTTTCTCCAGTGATAAGAGCAATATATGCCAATCACACAAAATTCAGAAAATTTAGAAATGAAGGCTGGCTGTTCTGCCTTGTTTTGATTGAGATGTTGGCAGCGAAGGGCAGAGAATCTGTCATTATTAGGCCTCCCAAAAACCATTGCATGTACACATCTTAGCTTCTGCAGTACTTGGAATAGCTACCCATCCCTAAATGAGAGTGAGTCTGCCTTTTACATAGACATCTATGGATCTCACAGAGAATA